TGTGGCACGCTGTGACGTCACACGATATTACAAATTAATATATCATCGAAAGTATTTAATTTTATGACAAAAGAAAAAATACGTGTTTAAAGTTTTAAATTATTGTACCAGACGGACATTCAAATGAAATTTAGGAAACGGTAAGAAAGGTATTTGACCCACTACGAGATTAATTTCACAAACAAATGATAGTAATACAGGTAAGTACAACTTCTAATTACATCAGACGTATAACGTGCGTAAGCCTGCATATCTACAAAATCCGTTTCACACCGAATTCACTTAAATTGCTAACAAATCTAGAATCTTGCCACTATCGATAAAGGTAGATTCAATTGTATAATTTCTAAATCTGGGTCCAAAAACTCAAAACAAGTCCAAGAACAATGCTAGCGACATTTTAAACCAATGAAGCGGAGATACTAACAGTAATCGCAATCTATTGAAAAACAAAATTATAAAGTACTAGAAATAACCTTATGTTAAGTGTAACCAAAAACAATATTAATACGGAATATCAAGGAAAGTTTTCAATATAGAATACGTAGGTATACTAGAGAAGTACCGCATTATACAAATGCAATGAATCGAATAAAATTATCTGATATTAATCGCTATTCTCAGTATCGACGTAATCGTAACAATTTAACATCTCACTTGAGTTTCCGACATTATTTCTAGGAATGGTGTATATTCGTTTGATGTTCAATAAATGAATTAATATGCATTCATGTAAAGGTTGTTGTTAATTTTACCTTATATCGTAAAGTTGAATGCGAGATTCAATTCGAAGAATAGTAAAATTGGAAAATATATAATTTAGTTTAGAACAATTGGTCTCGGAAAAGTACCTAACAGAGTTAGACTAAAATTTGACAATTATGTACTGATTTCAGTTCTGATATTTTTAGTGGCAGACTCGATTACATATTAACATTTCTTTGACAAATATTAAATGCCATTGTAATACTTACAGTACATACATATAAGTCTATCTACTCCCTCTTCCAAATAAAATACAGACAACAATATTCAGTTATTTGACATTGGTTCCTTCAATTATTTGACATTGGGCATTGTTGTCTTGTTAGCAGCAAAGTAGACACATTTTTACGACATGGCTTTTGTCAGGTCATCAGGTTTGTGTCAAACGAAATATACCTAATAGTATTGTTTAGCTTGTACGTCGAATAATATGAAAGTTTAAGGACAACGAAAGACTATATTTGCCTGCATACCTCCTAATTCCTATGCTTAATAATGAAAGTCAATGAATATTGGACTTAGGTTTTTGAACCGCTAACAATAGAATTCATTGCATGAAAAAGGTTTCCAATATTATTTTTTCGAGTTAAAAATAGAAAGACAATAATGGACTTGTCTATACAAACAGAAGTATATATATAACCCTCGTTTCGTATCAAGAACCCTCCGTGTTTCTGAGAGCTCGCGAACCGACGTCTTTTGTGATATTTATCTAAAACTCTCATGGCGGTTAAACAATAAAAATATATCTACATAAATGTATACGCATACAAAATTTCTTGATGGTAAAATTGAATATCATGGGGAAGGAAACATTCGATAAAATTTTATTAAAAATAATAATTTAAAATGTGCACAATTTTTATTTTACAGGATTCTTGAAGATAATATAGACCTTGATTATCAATTTACATAGAAGTCTATCAAATATGTGTAGGAGTTAAGAGCAGGTACGGCCGACTTAAGTGAAGCTAAGTATTGAGTGAGCTTACTGACCACTCAAACATACAAAGCGAGTTGCGCCATCTACCATCCTAAATGCAATGACCCCAAATAAATCCGAGTAGAGGTCAAGCGGAGGATGGCATAATGGCAATTGACAGATCCTACCATTACTGTGCGTTTCCATTGTGCCAGAGATGAGAGGCACGAAGAATGGGTATGTATGTAGTAATTGACCAATCACATTTGTTTGAATTGCTTGTTTGGTTGATGTTTCGATTCTAAACAAAATGGGTATGATTATCTATACGTATGAAATGAATATGGAGAAACCGATGTAAAAGAACACATACGACTCTAACATGCGACGAGCTTCTATCTACACTCAACGTAAATCCTTCCAATCAAGGACTCTGAAGTCCTTGGTAATTATTCCTCAATGTAAAAGGTCAATAATAAGACTACCTACTCAAAGTTATACCTATGTAGTCTATAAGCATAATGCATGAGCATAATTATAAGCATATAAAGATTATCTTATCAAAATTTTAACCACGAAGGATAACAAACCGATTGCTGACATTTTAAAATCTATTATACCTAGGTCCTAGGACCACCTCTTTATCCATAGACCAACTTTAATACTACCCGATTACTATAGGCTTTTGGCATCGCTCCAATAAACTACAGATAATATGTTAATAAATGGCACTAGAGATTCATACGAGTACGAACAAGGATTATATTGAATCTAGGCTATATTAGGATAGTATATTGGTATTAATTCTATCTAGTTTGATCATGACCCTTTATTCTCTAGTAACGGGAGATGAATTATGCTGGCTTACCTACTTAATATTTGTCATGTGAGCATGTAATTGAATTGAAATCGTTATATAGAATAATGTGTATTATATTGAATTATTGAACCCTTTCCTCTAGCTAGAGTATTCGGTTTTCTTAGAAGGGTAGATGCGTTATGATACGATTTTGCAAGACTTTATTTTTAATCTTATTTCATACTAGCTTTTACCCGCAGCTTCGCTCGCGTCACAAAAGGATAAAAGTAGCCTATACCAATACACACAGCGCCATCTATACCAATTCTTTTGTTTTCCCTCGGAAATATCAAAATTTTCCGGGATAAAAAGTACCCTATTATTTAATCCGTACTTCTAATTTTACGTCTGCAAAAATTCAAAGCAATCGGTTTAGTAGTTACGGCGTGAAAGCGAAACAAACAAACAAACTCACTTTCCCATTTATAATAGTAAGGATATCATTCATTTTTTTTTAAGTTTGAGAACACAAAATCTTTTTTCACGTTTTGCCATGTTCAACCAAATATAAATGGATTGTGCATTGAAATGAACAAGACACCAGTTGCATATACTTTCATTAATCTGTTCGTCTGGCAACTCAACCGAAATTCAACTTGCATTCTCATGCGATTGCACTTGAACCAACCTAGTGGAAAACTACACAGTAATAAAGTTTGACGTTGTAAGGAGAAGTTTGCAGTACATAAAATTTATGAATTGCTTCAATCAATACTGGCGTAGTGCTGCTCTTTGCTTGCACGTATACTATGAACATAATATAATTAATTTACTGGTAATTAACACGTTAACCGCCGCGTAGGTCACCTGTGACCTATGTTAGCGGAGGATTTGCCTTCAGCAGTTTTATGTCGGCAGTCAAAGGCCTAAAAATAAAAATATGTTTTCCATTTGTAACAAGAGCTTAAAATACGGCTATTTCTATCTCATCGCGTCATACCGGCTCAGTTATATAATCTGTGGCTACTTAAATATTAAAACGCATAAGAACATAATATTTCATTGTAACACTTGTTGAATTTGTTTAGCGAATTAAGCTTGTTGCGGTACTAACTTCAAAAGTAAATTGTACAAAATGTTGTATAATTTACTCTGGTTTATTTTACAAAAGACAGACATAAAGGGGTAAGTTGAAGAAATTTCTACTGTCTGGGATCCGGTTAACCCCGATCAAATACAACTGGAAACAACGGGTTTTGTTCAAAAACAAGAGGGCGCCGGTTTAAGTGTTTTCCTCTTTAAGGTCCAACAATTTTGAGGGTTTGCCGAACAATTTTTTTGAGTAGGCTTAAAGAATAATAAAAACCGGTGAACTGCGAGACGAATTCGCCTACGATCAAGTTCCGTAGCGTTGAAAAAATGTGTTCCCTATAAAGGATCATTCGTATTTTTACCGATTTCAAAAAAAGGAGGAGGTACTATGTTCGGCTGATTGTTTTTTTGTGTGGGTCAATGTCTATTCTATTCTATCGTTTCTACCAATCACTTTTTAACCATCTTAGTCTCAAGACGTGGTTCTATAACTAAGGAAGTGACATAAAGTCATAATATTAAAAAAAAAAATCTACTGGACCCAAAAACCCGAAGTTCCAAACTCGTGCGGTTGTAAACCCACTCCAATAAGAAGGGATCAGATATTCGATCATGCATGAACTTTGACTTACCTACAGCCGAATATTTCTGAAGAAACACAATGTTGAACGTCATGTATAATAATTTGGTCGATAACAACTTTTTGTGGTTTCTCTATTATTGAGTGACCCAATTTAATACAAATAAAAATTCATATAAATAAATTTATTACGAGAATAATAAAAAACAATTTCAAAAGTTTTTGTTAACGTCTTACATGACTCGAGAACTACTAATTATATTATCTGTTTAGACATTACACAATTGTATTAAAAACTTTTCAAACTGTAACTCATTAAAAAAAATAGTTTACTACAAAAAAATAGTATACAAAATTGCTTACAACAAACTTATAACCCGAATTTGTTGTATCAACAGTTTGCCTAGCTCTTTTCAAGACGTCTGTTGGGTAAACTAGATTTTCACTTCGGCTTTTTCCGATTTCCTAGTTAAACCAACTGTCGACTTCTTTCGATATTTCCAGGTGAAGAAAACACACATTGTCACAGAAACATGACTTATTTGTAGACACTCTGTTGAAAGATGTCATTGATCACTGTCGATATCTTTTTATTTTAGAAGAGATTGTAAACTCTCTTTTTAAAAATGTCTCTACATTTAGAAAAAAACGTACTATCACTAGATAGAGATAAGGTTTTATATTGCTGACTGACTGGTAGGCTTTACTCAAACCCTGCCTAGCTGTGATCTGGAATAGTTTAAGATAAAAACCAAATAGTTTGATTACACACTGGCAAAAACTTTAGGAAGATTAATACTAGAATAGAAAAATAAACCTATAACTATGAAAATACTACTCACTTAAGATTGATGTCTTCAAGGATCTTCGTTGGTAGCAGGTCCAGGATCTGAGTCACATTGAGATGATCCCAAGACTGCTGCCGACCCAGAATCTGCTGGGTGCAGTTGATAAACAATAGGATATCTATTTCGGAATCCATGGCAACATAATTCACTTACACACCACAACAACACATTTCGTTACGAACACTTCCGAAAACAAACAACACCGTCAATCAGTTCAAATTGAATGTCACTTAAGTACTCAAGTCAATTGTTCTTACGCACGTCTCCCCTTTTGGGAGGTTCAATTATCTGTACACCACGCACTCGTTACATCACCATATATGTTAGGTTCACCAACAAAATTAGGCCAACGAAAAACCTTCCACTGGAAATAAATCACATATTTGCGACTTTATTACTCGACACCAAATATTAATATCAATTAGGTGTTGCCCAAAACTTTTCCTACACTCCATAATTTCTGGTAATTAAGATCTCTTTGTCACCCCCATTTTATGGCACAGACAACAATGAAACTTGTAATTTAGGCAGCCATTATTACGAAGGGACTTGATTGACCACTTCTTTTTGAATACGTAATGAATATTCTTAGAAAAATCTTGTGCCCTATCTTTAAAGTTCTGGAAAAGTTAAGGGTGGAACGAAGAAAGTTCATAAAATTAAGGTCGAGAATAAAGAAAGAAAAATACTGTATTTCAAGCGATCTTTTACTATCACAAAGCGCTTCTCAAATTGTGATAAAGAAAGGTATTATTGGAGAATTTCCGGTAAGTTTTGGTTAAAGCGTCGGTCCTTGGAGACCGAGATGTAATACAAGACAGTATTTTAACTTATTGTGATTCTTTTGGGACCGAATCGTCATTTCCACATTTAACTCTAAAGGCAACTTTGTTCAAATCTATACCTTATAAAACATGACTTAGAAATCACTTCAAAATATCACTATCAATAACTAGAAATAAAATTGGAATTACTAACAACAATAACAGATACAAAACATAAAAAATATTCTTTTACAGACACACATTCGCACAAATTATAGCTGAATTTATATCCAAAAAGTAAATAATATTAACTTTTTATGATTCCAATATTTTTCAAGTTGCGAGCAACCACAACATCGTAAAACTAGTTTATTTTGAATAATAACTCGATAAGTAATTTTGGTCATGTAAGCAGGTTTTCATATCTATTTTATTTCATTGAAAGTAAAATAAAAATTCATAGCGAGAGTGATGAAACTTGACATCGTATGATGTGGTATTGGATGGAATTGCATTATGGCCGCTTGCTATGAGATATTACTACGAGTATGTTGGTTTGTTGGGTGTTCTATCGGTAACCACTGGACCGATAGGCTGACCTTAATGCGAAAAGATTGCTTTGTCAGTCAATACTCTTTTTGCAGTTTTAGGTGATATTTTAGGGATAGGACATAAGTTGTATATGGGTCTATCAACCCGCATTGAGCAAGCGTGGTGATTAATGCTCAAACCTTCTCCGTGTGGGAAGAAGCTTTGCTCAGCAGTTGGCATTTATAGGCTGTTGATGATGATGATGATGATGATGTTTATTATATAGTTTATAGGTTTATTATACTTATATATATTATAGTATATAGTTTATATACAAACCTATACATAAATATGTAATGAATGAAACCTATACAAACCCATAAACATCATCATCATCATGATGATTAGCATAAATCTGCTAATCATCATCAACAACATTAACAGTCCGTACGTTCTATAATACTATTTGACTGCCGGACTTTAAGTCTCTTTTGCATAAGAGGGTTTGCCATATTTTAGAGACTTGGCAATTGTGTTCTAGAGCACTATTTTTTATTTTTAGGGTTGTTAGAGAACACTAATGCCCTGGCTGCTGTTCTGTTGCTGTCAAGTATGTAGTTCTTTAATCGGCTATTTCAACTCCCAGGAGAAAAATAAGGGTCCTGACAAAATTGTGTGTGTTGTTAACACACGACTTAATAGTATCATAGGAAAGGGAGTTGATTTTTTCATCGTGATTTGCACGAAAGTATCGTATTCCGTATCGTATAACTTTAATTTTTCAAATATTAAAGAAATAAATTTTCATTAACTTTAAATCCTAATAGTAGTCTCATGAAATCATAAAATTAAAAACTTTTTAACAAACTACGTTTAATTAGTTAAAACATAGACTGAATAGTGAATATCCATTCTATAAAGATTGATAACTACGAAAAGAGATTCATTTCACTAAAAGAAAATACTATTAAAGATGTACCTAAAAGGAATCAATTAACAAAACCGATTGACATTGAACTAAGAACTAAACAAAAAATACAAAATAAAAGAACTACCGAACATTTACATCAACGAACAATTGATTTCAATTAGTGAAATTGTGTAGATAAGACGAACCTAAGTTCGTTAGCTTTTTCTCAAATATCTTACCGATATGGCTACTGTTTGAAAAACAAAAAAGAACAAAGTGAATTCGTTAAATAAATTCCACAAAAAAGGTAAAAGAATATACATATGCTTACGTAAAATTATTTGTAAATTGAATTAATGAAAAGATATTGAAATAAAATTACTTAACTTGTAATTCTTAACTAGCAGCTGTGGCTAAAAATGTGTATTAAAGCAGGAATAGGAGACTTAGTTACGCTTAAATACTCAAACGTCACTAAATTTTAAGTATGCGCTTACGTATAGGTAGTTCTGTCACTATAAATTCTTTGTAAAATGACAGAGACGGCACGATACTTAGGTCCAACTTGAAATTGAGTAGTCTTACAGTATTCCGACGTATAAAACTGACCATATGAAACTGACCTATGAAAATCCATTAGATATATTTATTAGAGTAAGTACATATTTGATTGTCAATATCACTACTTCCCCCAAAGGATCGTATCAGTTGACTAACTATCAATATGATTCTGATTTTGGAACGAAATCGTTGCATCGATCTTGATTTTTAACAGAAACTCTATTGAATTAATGTCGAAAAGGATTTTAATCTAAAAATTTCGGATCGAAATCGGTCGTAAGAGACTAAATATTTATTTAAGAGACTAGGCAGCAATGTCCTCTAAAAACCTGCTAGGTTATTCTGTAAGATGTCAATTCGAATTCTCAAAGTGAGCCTAATCGCGGTCTGCCATGTCAATGGTTGAGAGGATCATCTTGACCAATGACGACCGTGAATGCAGTCAAGCCCGCTTACAAAATAACCTATTCAACCTGCTTTCCAAGAAGTCTCGCAGTCCTCTAATGTAGAAGGGCGCGCAGTCACATATTAACTGTCACAGGCTGTCGATGAATTGTTGATTACATTTACAAGAATGGACTAATTATTAATTTACAACATAAAAAATATGTGGAGGTCTCTCGTTCTCGGGGTTGACGCGGTGAAAATGGGCACCGCGTCCCGCAATCCACAGGAAAAACGATGTTCATAACCCCCTTCTAAATCTGAATTCTAAATCTCCCTCTTCCTCTTCTGCTGACTACTTAACTACTTACAGTCTGCGTGTGGTTTTGAATTTTGTATGAGTGTAGCTTGTATGCCAGTTGTGGATTGAAAAATATATAAAAATATAAAATAATAACATAAAATAAATAAATAGAATTATTACCAGCCCAAAGCATACATGTTAGTGCAATATACAATGACAACCGCACTAGGCACAGCCTGTGTCGTGACTGTCAAAATACAGCGATTTCCATAAGACTTTTCTAATAGTTAATAACGTCATAAGAAAAGAAAAGTGAGTAGGTGTGTGAGAAAAAAATTGTATAAAATATAAAATAAATATAAAAAATTATAAAATATATTATAATAAGCGAGAAAGAAACAATACAACCCTAACGCAATCACGCCCAACAAAATGCTATTAAATTAGATACCGCAAGGGCGTGAAAAGGAGGCAAATGGATTTCGTAGGGACGGAATTGTATAGCAACTAACATACTGTAGTATTTTATATATATTAGTATGGCCAACATCCGGGATGGGATTGCCTAATTCAAATTTAATCCACGTAAAACGTGTTCGATGATAACAAAAATATTTGTTGGGGTATTTTAATCCAACGGCGTTTTACACTTGGTTGCGGAAAGATTACTATTACGATGATAATTTTTTGGAGTATCTTTAAATATTATTTTAGCTGATAACGGTTTGATTTCAATGTGATATGATATTTAATTTTTATAGAGCTTCTTTCTAAGACTACGTTCGCAAAAAATGTGTTTAACGTTTTAGTTCTATCTTATCGATATACATATAAGGGATGTTGGAAAAATTACTTCATATTCTTACCTCTAGTAACTGAAAAGAGTCGGCACTATTTTTACCGGGAAAATTAATATCTAGGTATTAATTTAAAATTACTAATTTTAAAACCATTGCTAAAAACTGTTGTAACTGGTGTTGAATTTATTCAACACCACTTTAAAATGAGATAAAGGCAACTGATTGACTTCACACGCCTATAAAAAAGGTGCAAAAGAAAGAAAGTAAAATCGACATTTAGAACGAGCGCAAATAAATCAATTAGTATTTGTATAGGATCTAAAGATCAACGCCAGTAATTGGACTTAAAAAGTTACAAAACATATATTAGGCATTTACTTACCATTTACTATTTACTTACATTCGATTTTTTTTTAATTTATTTTGTCATAGAAAAATATCACTCCAAATTAATTAAATATTTCAGCAACTGCTTCAAAAAGTTTTGTTTAAAATCGTCTACTGGAATATGATGTCCAGAGAGCACTCAAAAGAAAACTTGATTAATTTCCTTGATCGCTATAAGCCTATTATTACACATTTCTTACATCCCTTTCAAAGCCACGGAATAAAAACTCTTTCTTTTCTCGTTTTTTCCTTATATCGATATTGCCTTACCGTTCCTGATTAGAAATGAGCACAAAAGAAATTGAAAGATTTCGCTTCAATCATCTTCATCAAACAAACGTGATCGGCTTTATACAAAATACATCAAACGCTCAAATAAAAAAAAATACCAGAAAAAAAAACTTTTGCAAAACTTTTAAAACTTTTTTCTCTAACACGATTTTTTTGATATTAATATTTGATGGATTATTTTAGTTTTAATTAATTGTTTGAT